CCCTGCTGGCGGGGCGGGGGAGCTGCCGGCGGAGCGAGCGGGCGGGCGCCTGCCCGGCGCAGTGGTGCCACAAAGCGCCCCCCGCTTGGCCAGGGCATGGGGACGGTGACCCTGCACCCGCACGGGCCGCAGCTTTAACTCAACACGGACGAGAGAAACGGTGCTGCCGGGGAGGTTTCTGTCTCCTTTTTTCTCTCCTCTTCCTCATGTCTGAGGAGAAAATAAGACTTCAACATTGCAGGATGAGCACTTGGCAAGAGGACTCAATGCTTTTGTTTCCTATAAATATCAGTTGTCCAAAAATATATCTCTATTCTTATTTCTCCAAATACACATTCATACTTATCAATAAATATTTTATTGCAGCCATTATCAAAACATCAAAGGCTGCTGGAATGTTTTACTTCAACCGACACGGCTCATTCCAGGCTCACACAATGCGTCAAATGTTTGTCTCCTGCAGTAGTCAAAATAGAATTAATATTTTAAGTTGTGATGGGAGAAGCCACCGGGGGTGGCAGGGAAAGGAAATGACTTTGCATTCTAGCGAACACCGAGGCAGCAAAGCAAGCGCGGAGCAAGGAGAGCGCGCGGCTCATCCCCGCCACGGCTGCCGACCGCCAAACCCGTGGACGTCGAACGGGCAGACACGATTCCACTGGCAACCTGGGCCAGCCCGCGCCGGCTGTCTCTGAGCCGCCAGCGCTGTCACGTCCCTCGCGGTCAGACATGACGTTATCTGCCAAGGTAAGGCCGCTCTCTCGGGCAGAAGCAGATCTCATTCCGTGCTGGCTGTTGCAGAGATGTGCCTTGGACACGCGTAGGATCTGCTCGAGCCTCACAGCCCAATGCATGCGGCAGAGCATATCATAGCCCCTGGGTAAGAAAAACCATGAAAAAGAGGATTTCCCGGCCGTTCTGCGACTCCAGCAGCACAGGCAGGCTTTGCAGGCTCAAGGACATCTTCCTGGGCTCGCTGAGCCTGGCCGCGTCGCTTGTCAGCCTTAGAAAGCCCCCGAGAACTGCAGACTTCGAACCAAGAGCCTGGACGTGTCCAACCAGGGGACAAAGCTGGCGTCCCCCTGTACCAGGGACACCGGCAGGACACGCTGGGTTCAGCTGCAAATCCCAACCGTGCACAGAAGTTAAACAGGGGCTGACGAGCACGCAAAGCCCTCCAACGTCAGCGCTCCTAGGCACTAAATGAATAGAACACTTCCCAACTGATTTATTTACAGTTAATGACATCCTCAGCCACTCTTGAGCTTGGCACCGTGCAAAGGACTGAGCACTTCCATGTTACTGTGCCGGGTTTTATTTCCCTGCATATTTTCAACGGCGGGCAGTGACTCAGCCCCGTGAATCATTTATGGCCTTGTGAGTCACACTAAGCAGCACGGGCAGGGCCTGGATAACCATTGCAAGGTTTATCGGAGATCAAGAAACGCACAATATACTGCAGGGTCATTAGTATTTAAAGGAAAATTATTTCATTTAGCAAGGGGGGGGAAAAAAAGGTATTTTGAAGTGTTAATAGGATGTCTTGCTGGCAAACCAGAATTCCTCTCCCGCATGGTTCTGGAAACCAAACCTGCACTTTCTCCTCAGCCTGCTCCAGTCAAATACACAAATACACCGCACGCATGCAGGATTATAGCCAAGGCCACAGAGAAAGCTTTCACCAGGAGGCTCGTACCTCTCCTCCTACCATTACACCTCTATGTTAAAACACCACTTTGTTCAGCATCCAGCCTTGGCATCCTCAGCCGGCGTGAATTAGCACGTCCCATCGAGAGGCACGGTGCCACGGAGCCAGTCCCGCACCAGCACCAGGCAGCGGCTGCCACCGGCAGGGACTGGGGCTGCTCGGGGGCTCTGGGGACCGGCCAGGCTGCGGCTGAGGCTCTGCTCCGTGTGAGGGGGCTCCTGAAGGGGTGCAAGGCCCAAATCCAGGTGACCCCGGGGCGCAGCCCCCGCAGAGACCCCACGGATGCCAGAGCCCCTCCCAGCGGGGCCAGGATTGAATCACAGAATCATTTGGGTTGGAAAAGCCCTTTAAGCTCCCCCAGCCCAACCGTTCCCCTACCCCTGCCATCCCACCCCCAAAC